TACATGACTTGAGGAATGAGGTCTGATGTTCACCACAAGGTTCTCTATCCCACTCATATGCCTAGAGAAGCCACTATCAAAATACCAATCTTCTTTGGTAGGCATCCTTAGAGAAGTGTGAGCTACCAACGCCACATTCTTTGCAACCCATTGTCTTTTCTTGGTAGGAGCATGCTCCTTGGGTTTAGCATGATTCTTTTCCTTAACATAAGCACCCTGTTTGGATTTTCCTTGATAAGGATGACTAGGAATTCCATGTAGCCAGAAACAGAGGGGTTTAATGTGTCCAAGTTTTCCATAGTAGTAACATCTATACCCTTGGAATTTGTTCTTAGACTGGTTCTATCTTCTGTTCCTCTAATGTTATGACATTGGCTGTGACATCCATTTTGACCTCTGATTTTCAAGCTTTGGCTTTTTGAGCTCCAAGATAGGTTGTTGTTCCCCAACAAATCCCAGTCCAGACTTGTTCCCAGCTTTCTGACCACTCTGGAGAATCCTTTCTAGAGTGTCAGACCCAGGGTTTAGCATCCTTATAGATTTTGACATCTATTCCACTTTAGATTCCAACAAGCTTGCCTCACTTTTGAGTGAGTCAATTGTTGCAAGATGCTCTATCTTCTCAGCCTCTAATTCCATTATGCACTTCTTCTGTTGCTCTCATTGTTGATACAATTCAGTACTTCTGATGCATAGCTTCTTATATGATTTTGTCAGTTCATCATAAGTTAGATCTTCTTCACTTGAATCACCATCAGAAATATATACACTGTTCAGAATAGTGATATGTTTGGCAGACTCTTCTTCTGATCCACTTTCTGAGTCTCCATCAGACCAAGTGACAGCTAGGCCCTTCTTCTGTTCCTTGAGATATGTAGGACATTCAGCTCTAATATGTTCATACCCTTTTACGTTCATGGAATTGTACTCCTTTTCTTTGGTTGGAATTTTCTTCAGACTTATCCCTTCAACTGCTTTCAGAAGAGCTGTTCTTAGTGTTGGTTTAGACTTATGATTAAATCTTTTGATAAGTTTGTTGAATTGTCTTCCAAGCAAGGCTATTTCTTTTGACAAATTTTCCTTAGTTTCACCATCTTCTTCTTCTTAATCTTCTGCAGTGTTTAAGACAAGAGCTATGCTTTTGTTCTTTTTCTCCACGGCCTGGTCACACATGCCCATCTCAAATGTTTGGAGAGAACATATGAGTTCATCCACCTTCATGGCAAACCTTTTAGGTAGAGACCTGAGTATCTTCCTTACAAGCTTCTCTTCTGACATCTTTTCTCCCTAGGCTCTTGAGGTGTTTGCAAGTTCAATAACATTCATGTAGAATTCATGAATAGTCTCATCTTCCTTCATTCTCAAACTTTCAAACTTGGTGGTCAGCATTTGTAATCTTGACATCTTGACTTTAGAGGTTCCCTCATGAGTTGTTTTGAGAGTATCTCAAACCTCTTTAGACAGCTCACAATGATGCACCAATCTGAAGATATTCTTGTCTATACCATTGAGTAATGCATTCAAAGCTTTAGAATTCCCAAGAGCCAAGGCTTCTTGCTCTTTGGTCCATTCTCCTTCAGGTATAAGCACAGACAATCCATCTTTATCAGTCTTTACTGGATGTTCCCATCCTGAGTTAGCAACTTTCCATGCCTTGCTGTCTAAAGACTTTAAGAAGGCAATCATCCTAGGTTTCCAATAGTCATAATTAGAGCCATCCAGAATTGGTGGTCTATTTGTGAATCCTATGTCTTTATCCATAGTACCAAAATTTATCTTCCCTATATCTCACCCAGAAAAAACAGGCAGGGTGCCTGCTCTGATGCCAATTGAAATTTTGGAAAGCACATGATGGATGTTATCACGGATGTTATAACATCCACTGTAACACAAACTATTGGAATAACTAAAATGTTGTAAAGGAAAGCAATAAGTAACACAAGTAATTATTCACCCAGTTAAATTTCAACCACACTTACATCTGGGGGCTACCAAGCCAGGGAGGAAATTCATTATTAGTAGAATTAATTCAGAGTCAAACAACCCGTTTGCACTCTTCACTTAAGACCTACCCAATGACACTTCAGCCTAGAGACCACTAGACCTGAGTATACCCACTCACTCCCCCTCAATCACCTCAATGATATTAATACACAATTACAACAGAAATATGAAGATATACTTCAAACACACCTTGATCTTGCTTCACAACTTTGATCAAGAAACACACACCCTTGCTTAGCAGCTTTGAGTGAGACAATGAACACAGCAGTTCATACACAATAACCAAAGCAATTATACAATATACAATTGCTTGACACACAAGGAATCCTAAGATTCCTAGACACACGTGAAGAGAAACACCCTTCACTCACAAGATACACCCTCTAATATCTTTGCTAGCAGTGTTGCTTATTAAGGTTCATCCTCTTGTTATTTATAGTAGCAGATGTCCTTTGGGCCTTTGTGCAGAATTTAGGTTTACCCAAACCTCTCTTCAAGAATCTTCCCGCTTACTCTTTAGGTCAGGGATATTTTATTTCGCCAGGGCTTCTAAAATATTTCATGACTTCCAGCTTGAGCTTCTACAAAGTTTTCTGAATTCTAGCCTGAGCTTCCTCATTCTAAATACCATAAAACTAAACTGCACGCCTGATGTCATACGATCAGTGCAATAACATTCAGTATGACATCCAACTCAACTTACTACTTACCCTACATATTGTGTGTCATAACATAGTTATGACATCCATACACACTCTAATGTTTTGCCATAAAATGCAGCCAATCAGAAGCACTTACACCCTAGATCAACTACCCCGTGATTTTCGAAAGGTGGGTTGACCAACTCTTTCGGAGGTGGGTAGTTACCTGATGATGTGTCCCCATGTGGGGAAGCACGTGGAGAACGTGGGGGAAGCGCATGAGCCTCCCCGTCAAGGGAGTCGTTTTCCTGACATATGTGCCTTGTTCAGGCTTGTGCCCGATAAGGGGAATTGGGCCTCGTTGGGCCTCACCAGTATAACGTTGGATTGGGCCTTCCCGACCGAGGGGCAGGTCTCGGCCCAGTCTAGAACAAAAATAATCTATATGGTTGTGTAAATAAGTATAAATGTATTCATATAATACAACTATAAAATCTGCATTGATGTTCGTTATTAATGGCTGCATATTTGTGCCTTAACGGTTTCAGATCAATAACCAACAAAAATTGGCACTAGACTCCCCGACCTCATAAGGAAGTAGCTCAAAGCTTAATTAAGAGAGAACACTGACTTGTTTGCATGGAGAAGCGCTGAGATGCCCGGACTGGACTCCGAAGTGGCCTGCCACTACCTGATCATTGACCCCGTCGCCAGGGCTGTAGTGCAACGTAGGCATAGGCAGCCTCCCGAAAAAATGGAAATTGCTGAAAAAGATGTAAAAGACTTCATAGAGGCAAATTTTATTTTATAAGCCCAGTACACAACCTGGATTTCAAACGTTGTACATTTCCAAAAATATAATGGAATATGGAGGATGTGCGTTGATTATATTGATCTAAATAGGGTTTTCCCTAATGATGTTTACCATTTACCTAACATAGATAGACTAGTTGATAATTCTGCATGATTCAAATTATTGTCTTTATGGACGCGTATTCGTGGTACAACCAGATCCCCATGGCAAATGGTGACGAAAAATACACAACCTTCATGACCGATTCAGGAAACTACTACTACAACATAATGCCCTTCATGACCAATTTGGCGCTACCTATCAGTGGATGATGAAAAACGTCTTCCGAGGTGAGATTAGAGACATGCTTGAAGTCGACATGGACGACACGATCGTGAAATCCCAAGAGGAATCTGACCATATGCTCCACCTAAAAAGAGTCTTCACCCAGGCGAGGAGATGCAAGATGAGGTTCAATTTGGAGAAGTGCACCTTCGACGTTCAGGCAGGTAAGTTCCTCAGCTTCTATCTAACAAAATGAGGAAATAAAGTGAACCCCGACAAATACAGGGCCTTCTCCGAATTCCCGATGCCAAATTCAAAGAAATCAATTTGATCCCTAAACGGGATGCTCACCTCGTTATCCCACTTCGTAGCCAAGTTTTCCCAGCACACACTTACCATTTTCGAACTTCTTCACAAGGAGGCAACATTCGAATGGACCGAGGAGTGAGTAAAAACCCTTCTCCATTTCAAACAAACTCTCTCGCAACTACCGATCCTCTTGTGACCAGACAACGGGGTGACTATCTACCTTTACCTCGCCATTACAGTCGAGGCCATCAGTGCGACTCTCGTTCGCTAAACCCTCGAGGGGCATAAACAAATATACTTCACTAGCATGGCCCTATAAGGCCCGAAACTAAGATACCAACAAATTGAAAATGTAGAAGTGTCCCTCATCAATGCGGCGAGAATATTGAGACATTACTTCCTAGCTCACATGATCCTGGTGCAAACTAACCAACTCATAAAGTAGCTGCTCAGCCATCCTGACATGGTTAGCCGAATGCTCAAAATGGTCATTGGAACTCTATGAATTCAACATCCAGTTCGAAAGCATAAAGGCCCTTAAAGCTCAAGTACTAGTCGACTCCGTGGAATAAATGGCCACGCCTACCTCCTCGAAAAGTGGAACCCGTAAATGGACAGACGGAGCATCCATCTCGACAGGAAGTGGAGCAGGAATCATACTTGAAATCAAAGAGGGAATCCTGATCGAAGTCTCATCGCCTTATCCTTCTCGACCTCGAATAACCAGGCATATTACGAAGCCTTCCTCACAGGGATACACTTGGCCGGAGACTTAGGAGCTAAATAGGTAAAAAAATTCATTGATTCCTATCTCGCTGCCTCTCAAGTACTGGGAGAATATCAGGCCAAGAACGAGAATCTCTTTGAGTACTTAGCTCTGGTTCAGGAGAGAATAACAAAATTCGAGTCAGCATAAGTAAAACATGTTCCTCGCAAGCACAACACACGAGTAGACATCTTGTCAAAACATGTTAGTGTACGAGTACATGGAAAATAGAAGCCTTGATGCCATTTTGTTTGGTGAGTTTGTTTAATTTTAACATTTATATTCATGTTTGATTTTTTCATGCTTGGCTATTTAATGTGTATACAAATGTTTGATATCCAGACAAAGCTAAAAGATCCACACTAGACTGGCGAACACGCTTCAACGTTATATACGGAATAGCTAGAGGACTTCTTTATCTTCACCAAGATTCGAGATTTAGAATCATCCATAGAGATCTTATGGCAAGCAACATTCTACTTGATCAAGAGATGAACCCAAAGATATCAGACTTCGGGATGGCTAGAATTTTTGGCACGAATCAGACAGAGGCAAATACAGTTAAAGTCGTTGGAACATAGTGAGTACCTAAGTAACACACTACCACTCTAAAAGAAACGAACTTAATAATGATCTAATTATCTTAATATTTATAAATAATTGTGTTATGTGCAGTGGTTATATATCTCCTGAATATGCTATGGACGGAATCTTCTCAATGAAATCAGATGTTTTTAGTTTTGGCGTACTTGTAATGGAGATCATAAGTGGAAAAAAGAACCGATGTTTCATTAGCACAATCACTAACAAATAGCACCAGTGTTGTTATAGCTCAACTATCGGATATAGCAAACTTTGTTCTAATGCTAAACAACACCAAAACTGTCATATGGGAAAGCTTTAATTATCCCACAGACACCATGCTTCCATATCTAAAGGCTGGTTTTGATAGAAAAACTAATCAAAGCTGGTTCCTTCAATCATGGAAGACAGATGAGGACCCTGGAAAAGGTGCGTTTACTTTTAAATTCAGCACCATTGGCAAACCTCAGCCGTTTATGTACAACCGGAACCTTCCTTGGTGGCTGTAACCCGGTGAACTGACTTTAAACAATGTTGCGGATAGCAAGAGTCGCCACCGACTTTTATTTTATCCATAAGGAAAGGTTATAAAAGAACAGGAAAGACCTTAGAGAATATTTTGGGTCCGGGGGGTAGGTTATGAAAAGGGAAGGTATTAGCATCCTTTTCATCCATGGTTATCCATGGGCTCTTAGGTACTTAAGCTCACTTTTGAATTGTTTTGAAATTGTAGTGTGTGAATAGAAAATTTTCAGAATAGTTAATAAATAATCCATGTAAGGATGTGTTAAGAACTTGTTTGAAAACTTGTTGAAAATTTGTTTAAGTGCGAAACAATTTTGAAGTGAGCAAGCACCTAGGAGTAACCTACCCTAATGTTTAAAGGTCTTTCTTATTCTTCATTCTTTCCTTTAGTAAGACTATCCCTACTATAATGGAGTAGGTAGTCCTTACTTTGGATGTTAAGGGGTATGTGAGGGACAATTTGACTTTGAAGGCCATTGTGGGATGTAATAAGCACATATAAGGGACCATCATCATTTTTCGAAAGGGACTCGATTCGTAAAGGCAACCATAAGGGACTTTGATGATTTTTCTATTTGAGGGACTTGCTTTATACACCCCACTTAACCATTGTTCGTAGGCAACTTGAGGGATATCCTTAGGAAGTGAGACGACGATTAAAATCGACTTACGTGTGTGAAATGTTTAATTTAATTATCTTATATTAAAATGATCTAATTTATTTTTTTAAATATCATACATATTAGCACTCCCTAATTACTAACCATAATAATAAATAATTAAACAACTTTACATCCAAGAAACAATTACAAAATAATAAGCAAAATAATTAAATAGCAAAGATAAATAAAATATAAATAAGCAATAATAAATAATAAAGGGGGTTAATTCTAAGTTTACTCGGCAAGACATCGCATCTTGTGCCTACGTATCCTTACGGGAGTGGAATCAGAGTAATCGTAGTTCCCCTCAAATAGGGAGGTTAGAAACTTCTTGACTGTGGTCAAGGTCTCAAGGGGAATAAACGCATCTTAAGGACACGCTTACGTGGAGTGTAGAAACTCCAAATCTCTACGTTGAAATGTTAAGTTGTAATTAGGGTTAAATTAGGGATTCCACGGCGGGAAACCCTAAAATGAGCGCGACGGCTCTTTGACCTAATGCTAAGGGTAAAATTGTAATTTTGCCTGCGGCGAGGCATTTGTGAAAATTAGGGTTTGTAGTTTGTAGTTTTGAGGATTTGAAATTGAATGTGTGAAGTTTTACGGACTATGGGCGCGGCGGCCAAACAGTTAGACCTAACCTTCGGATGTGTGCAATGTGACAGAAATAATAGTAAACGCGTGAGATAATTGAATCATGCAAACAGAGAGATAATGTCATAATTTAAACCATGCAAGCAGAAATTTAAAGGCAGAATTTAAAGAGCGATTGTTAAGTTCGCGAGGTTACATGAGAGGAGCAGATACAATATGATAATGAAATTTGAATTGAACAATAATAAAATAAAATAAATAACGGTTCTAGTTATTATTTTAAAAAAAAGATTTTAGTTATTATTTTAAATTTATCTAAAAAAGTTTTTTCTTAAAAATAATAGGTTTTCATATTAATTTGGAAAAGATGTTAATGTTATTTATTTTAAAAAAACAGATTTTTATATTATAACAAATTTTAATAAATTAATGATAACAATAATAATAATAATGGTAATAATAATGATAATAATAATAAATAATGATAATAATAATAATAATAATAATAATAATAATAATAATAATAATAATAATAATAATAATAATAATAATAATAATAATAAAGCAATAATGAATTTTAAATGTGCCAGATAACCCAACAATGTTGCTAACGCAGAAATGCGCTCATCGCAACCAGATCTAAATCGGACGAAACAAAATTTATCGCAAAGAAAAAGAAATTAAGCAAAAAATAGTATTATTGCTCACACAAAAATGCGATCATCGCAACCAGATCGAACTAACACAAATGTCACGCGTCATGCACACAAATGTGCAAACATTGTATCGACATAATTCGATCAAAAATCTTATATATATAAACTCTAACAATTTAAAAATTATATATATATAAACGTAACAGTAATAGATAAAGAAAAAGAAATAACGGTAATAAATGAAGAAAAAGAAATAACGGTAAAAGATGAAGAAAAAGAAACAACAGTAATAGATGAAGGAAAAGAAATAACGGTAAACGATGAAGAAAAAGAAACAATAGTAATGGATGAAGAAGAAAACTAAATAACGGCAAACGGCACTCACTCCTCTTAGGTTTTTTTCCTTCTCTCCTCTTTTCCAACAAGGCAACACATGTATATATAGGGAACAAATTAGGGTTAACACCAAATTGTCAATAATGTCCCTAAAGCCCATTTTAAAGCCCAAACTAAATAATTAGTTAAGAAAAAATAAAATTTAAATAATTTAAAATAATTAAAATAAACTTAAAATAAAAACTAATAATCCTATTGATTCCTAAAATAAAAAATATTATAAAAAGAACAAAATTTTTTTCAATATTTTTTATTTTATGATTTTTTGGATATTTTTATGAATAATTTAGAAAAAAGTGAAAAAAATAATATTTTAAAAAATAATTTAATTAAAATACGAAAATAATAATTAAATAATAATAAAAAACTATTTTTGTTATTTTTTTAATGAAAGATAGAAAAATTTAGAGTAAAAATAATAAAAAACAAAAAAAAAGTGACAAAGGTGAGATTCGAACTCTCAACCTCTCACACTCATAACTCCTTACACATGTCCTCCTGCCAATTGTGCCATTTTTACTTTTTAGAAAAAAAAATGCATGTCATATGATATTTACCTGCAAAAAGTCAAACGACTCTCTTTGATGTTGGCAAAAAAAAATCATGAAGTTTGACTTTGGTTTGACCTCAGTTTGACCTTTTAACTGCATTGACTGCTTTTGACTTATCTGATCATCTGACTGAGCAAACTTTTGAGAAAAGTCTTGAAACTTGACATGGGGGTTCTTATACACATATAAGATGTTATGAAGCTCACTTGAAGTCTTGGAAGTCCATTTAGCCTGATTAAAGTCAAAACCCTAGTTTTGGATGCACTGCTTAGGAGGTGCATTGTCTGAGGGAATTGTCAACTCTTCTGACCAATTGTGAATTTTGTGAACCTTGTGAACCTTCTTGGAACACAAAGTCTTGTATTGTGAGGGCAAATTTTGGGGTGCAACAGCTGCCCCTGTTCAATTTTCTGAAACCTGAGGGGTTAGATTGGTATATTTGCCAGTCGTAACCTGGAAGGTTGAAGGGGATTGAACACAAAAGCCCAAAAATTTGCACTCACCAGTGCATGGAGTGATATTGATGGTTGGTTGAACATGATTGAGTGGGCTTAAAGATGCCACTAGGGGAAAGTTCTTCAGTAGTATAATGAGAACTGTCAGGAGTCTGGAGTAATACTGATGTAACAGCATGTCTTCATGAGGATAGAGCAATCAATAATGATAACCCTAAAGCAGTCTTGAAGTGATAAATCTGACCTCAGGAGGATAGAGCAATCAATAGCTCTAAAGCAGTCTTGAAGTAATAATGGCTTCAGGAGGATAGAGCAATCAATAGCTCTAAAGCAGTCTTGAAGTAATAGAATGGCTTCAGTAGGATAGAGCAATCAACAGCTCTAAAGCAGTCTTGAAATAATAATGTGATATGTCTTCAGGAGGATAGAGCAATCAATAGCTCTAAAGCAGTCTTGAAGTAATGATTTCAGGAGGATAGAGCAATGGATAGCTCTAAAGCAGTCTTGAAATAATAATGTAATTTCAGGAGGATAGAGCAATGGATAACTCTAAAGCAGTCTTGAAATAATTAGATGGCTTCAGGAGGATAGAGCAATGAATAGCTCTAAAGCAGTCTTGAAGTAGTAATATGACCTCATGAGGATAGAGCAATGAATAGCTCTAAAGCAGTCTTGAAGTAATAGGATGATTTCAGGAGGATAGAGCAATCAGTAGCTCTAAAGCAGTCTTGAAGTCATGAGAGGCTATCAGGAGGATAAAATAACCCTGAGGTTACAATAAAGCAGTCCCAAAGTAATAAGAAGCTCATCAGGAGGATAAAGTAACCCTGAGGTTACAATAAAGCAGTCCCAAAGATCATAAGATTGTTTGTTGGATAATTAACCTGAAAACAAGGTAGCATTCTGTACAACAACATTAGTTTATGCTTTATGTATGCATGTATGACATGATGCACTTAGGTAATGTACTATAGACATATATGTTATGGTATGATGTAAATGATGTATGTATGCTATGACACTGCTGGAAGTGTCTGGATATCCTTGTATAACAACTGCTGGCCAAGGAAAATAAATCCCGATTCGTTGTTGAAGAATATATAACCCTCCGTCTGCTGGGGATAACAAGGTATAGATAACCTCCCGTTGTTGGGGATAACAAGGTATAGATAACCTTCGTTTTCGTTTGATAGTAGGATAAGTATAACATCCCGTCTTCGTTCATCGTGCCCTTATTGGAAAGTAATTTCCCGTATATCCGTATGAGGATAAAAGAGATGGATATAAATTCCAGGGGAGATTAGACTTTGTGAAAATGGATTAGTCCTATTGATGGTTTGTAACTGTCTTGTAAAGATGAACCGGCGAAGCTTCGTTGAAATCCTTCCCTCGT